TATAGCAGGGGCTCTCAAACTGTCACCCACAAGTATCACTAGTATAGCAGGGGCTCTCAAACTGTCACCAAGTATCACTAGTGTAGCAGGGGCTCTCAAACTGTCATCAAGTATCACTAGTGTAGCAGGGGCTCTCAAACTGTCACCAAGTATCACTAGTGTAGCAGGGGCTCTCAAACTGTCACCCACAAGTATCACTAGTGTAGCAGGGGCTCTCAAACTGTCACCCACAAGTATCACTAGTGTAGCAGGGGCTCTCAAACTGTCACCCACAAGTATCACTAGTGTAGCAGGGGCTCTCAAACTGTCATCCCCTCCTTCACCCACCATTTGCAGTAGACAATACTGCATCAGTCAGAAAACTTTCTGGCCATTGCAGCCAGCACGGGTCTGCCTTAGTCCAAAGTCTGCCTTATTTCAATGTCTGCCTTAGTTCATAGTATGCCATAGTCCAGTCTTCCTTAGGGCCCCGTGTAGGCAGTAGGGTCCCCTATTACATCCCTATTAGACTCCCTCTGCACTTTCCGAACATAAATTATGGCGTCTTTAAATTAAAAACATGCAGGCTTGGAATTTTTATCCCCCCCCCCCCCCACCTTCCCTGCAGACGTAACAAGCGACAGGCCGGACACCCCCAATGTGTTTAATTAAAACGGGCTGGTGGAAAAAAAAACCCACCAGAAAACGGGACTTGAAACCTGAGACCCCCGGAGTGTCGGGTGACTTAATTTATTACCTGACAGTACTCAGACCGTTCCTCGTCCCTATTCACACATCTCTTTTTGTCCCTATTCACACATTTTTGTTCCTATTCACACATTTGGTGTCTCTGTTCACACGTCTTATATTAGACTGGGTAGATCGCGTGTGCGGGGCGTGCTAAGGCATACAGGGAACTACACTCGGACATGTGCAGTTCACTTTTTAAAGAAAATTGAAATCTACTTTGTAAATTTGGTAATTTTAAACTTTAGACGTGGTATGTAGTCATATAGAAGACAGACGTGGTATGTAGACGTGTATAGCTATAATAAGACAGACGGTATGTCGACTTCTAAAGCTATACGATCAGTAATTTGAAGAAAAAGCAACTTTAAAAAAAACCACACAGTACAAGCAACAACGGCGGGCAATGTTGAGCAACTACAACAACTCGCTAGATGGGGGGGGGGGGGGGGAATGGGGTCGAGGTGGGTGCGGTAGTATATGGTGTGGTGTAGGGTGGGTTAGTGGATGAGACATGGTGTCATATAAGGTGGGTTATGGTGGGGGAGGGGGATTGTGTGCGGGGTAAGGCGTGGGATGTTGTGGTGTGGGGAGGGTGTGTGTGCGGGGTAAGGCGTGGGATGTTGTGGAGTGGGCCGGTCATATATACTGGTTGTAATAACGTAGTCATCGACCCCCCCCTCCCCCAGGAGTGATATTGTGGGTTAGGTGTAGGGTTCTGTGTGTGCTAGGGTGTACGTTTGTGCGTGGTGTTAGGTGTGTTTTAGGTTATGGGTTGGGGTGTTCGAGCATGAGACCGTCCAAATAGTATTTTCACTCTGCACTTTTACGACTCATCGGGCAAGTTACCCACCCATCTAGGGCCCATTGTGAACGTTTGAATTACATCCGCCTGAAGCCCCGAGTGTTAGCGACACGGTACTGAAGCCCCGAGTGTTAGCGGTACTGAATTGTGTTTGCTCGGGCGACATATTGGCCGATTAAACAGGTGATTCAAACACTTACCCATTGTTTCACACGCTGTTACAGGGTGGTGTAAATCTTTCTAGAGTTATTTACCCTCCAGCTACCTAAATGCTTTCATACCCGCCCCTCCCCCCCCCCCTGCGGTTCAGCTTGTGTGTGTGGTAAATATTGATATTGTAAACTTTATGATTATAAACATTGAAATCTGATTGTGGCAGAGATGATGTTTTGAAAAGAAAAGCTGGCGCTTGTTGAATTGTTCGATGAGAAATTAAAGACAGTCAATACTGATTTTAAAATACAACCTCGACTTTATCTACCTCCCCCCCCCCTCCCTTTATCACAATCAATCTAAGCCTTCACCGAATCAACGACTGTGGAAACGAACAAATAAAAAAAACGTACACATTAACACATTAAGAAACGAACAAACAAAAAAAAAACGTACAAATTAACACATTAAGAAACGAACAAATAAAAAAAACGTACAAATTAACACATTAAGAAACGAACAAATAAAAAAACGTACAAATTAACACATTAAGAAACGAACAAATCAAAAAACGTACACATTAACACATTAAGAAACGAACCTATCAACAAACTTTAATACAAATTTCCCGACGCGTCTGAAATGACATCACTTTGTACGCATCGTGTCAGCGGCGTCGCGCGTCATTGATTCAGTGCGTCACCGACCAGGCTGTGGTCAGCCAGCGATGCCTGACGCACGTGTGTGAGCATAGATTTCATGCCCTACTTTACTGACGTGACGTAATCTTTGTCACGTCACTGAGGCCGAGAATATCAGGTCAAGCAGAGTTTATCTGTATCCCAGTGTACATTTTGAAACATCAGCTACCATGGCCACATCGTGGGAGTGGTGGTTCATAAAGACGGGGCAACTTGTTGAGGTGGTTCAATACACGACTCGGTTTGAGCCTTGCCGAGATCACACAAACTCTACATCACCTGTCTTACTGGCTGTCTGATCAGCTCTAAGATGGCCTCCTGATCTCAACGTGAGGTTTTGGATGAGAAATATGTTCATATAGTTCCTAGCCATTCCAAGAAATCGCTAATTCAGAAGTGAAAATGGCAATAATTTTTTTTTTACTTTGACACCCCTCTGCTGACGTCATCCCTATAATAGTGATCATCTACCCATGCTTTACCTGTACTGTTGGCCCCTTTACACGGACGACACCTCTTTACTACTGACACCCCTCTACTTTCGACACCTCTCTACGACACCCCTCTGATGGAAACACCTCTGATGCCACCTTCCCCCACACTTTCCCACGTTACGTAAGAAATTAGTTTGACCGTTTTACTAGGGCCAGGATTTAACAAGTGGAAGAAGGACCAGGTGCCACCCCTCCCCCTCCCCCACCCCCTCCCCACGACGAACAGATAACAGAGGTGGCTGCCTGTATCACTGAAGTAGCTTGTTGACTTGCAGCAGAGTTTTTCTGGTAGCTTCAAGTAGCCTGTACGTCGGTGAGTGGTTCTACACACACACAGACAGACACACGGACATACACACAAACTCTCTCACACAAATACACACACACAATGAAAGAGACATTAGTATTTAGAAAAGAAATCCTCTCTCAAAAGCACTGAATTTTGTGGACTTAATTTTCTCTTGATTTTGCGGTTAGGGTTAGAGTTAGGTTTAATTTATGGCCAGGGTTAGGGTATTTGATATTAGCTAGAAACAGCCAGCGATATTTCATGTTCGAGTATCGATACCATGTAATAATCTCTGGCTTTGTTTTATTTTTATTTTTAACTATTGAGTTAATTACGGTAGTTGATTTCACGTTAGGTAAAACACATTTCAAAAAATAGAATTTTCTGTTGGCCATATTTTCACAGGATTATAATTCTAACAGGATTATCTAACAGGATTATAATTCTAACAGGGTTATAATTCTAACAGGCTTATAATTCTAACAGGGTTATAATTCTATATTAAACTTTTTATTTATTTGGGTGCTGGGTCTGTGATAGTGTGACGTCATCACCATCAGCGGGGAGGACAACTCTTGTTTGTTGAACAGACAAGGGCGGCTATTCAGGTGTGTCTGGATCTTGTGGGCCTGTCTTGTTGTTTCAGATGGTCGGATAGACCGCTGGTGGGCAGGAGATATCGTCTGCTCACACTTCACATTATTTATTCACACTTCAGCTGTATGTGAAAACAGTTGTTCACAACTTGTTTCAGGTAGCGCGTCACAGGGTGGACACGCGATGTTTGACGAACCTGATTTTAAAATGTTTTCATACAAATAGCTTTACTAGGTCAACAAACTCGTGTTCACGTCACTGGGCGTGAGGTCCAAGTTAAAATCTGACCGCTAGTGTGACGTCAAAAGTGACGTTTATCTGACCAGAGCTGGCGTGCTGCCATTTTACCCGGCGGCTTTAGTTTATCACCTGGGCTATCCTAATTACCCCCCCCCCCCATCCACCCCAAAGTGTTAACATCGACCCACCCCCCTTCAACCCCACCCCTAACGTCTCTGACAAGACCGAAAGAAAGTGATCTCCACTTCCCCCATAAAGATGTTAAGTAGAGAGGGGAGGTAAGTTTAAGGGGAGATAACTAAACGGTGAACGGTCAGTTTTCTTTTACTGGTCTAGTGATGTCCGGTCTAATGATGTGTGGTCTAATGATGTGTGGTCTAATGATGTGTGGTCTAATGATGTCTGGTCTAATGATGTCTGGTCTAATGATGTCTGGTCTAATTATGTCTGGTCTAATGATGTCTGGTCTAATGATGTCTGGTCTAATGATGTCTGGTCTAATAATGTCTGGTCTAATGATGGCTGGTCTAATGATGAGTCTAATGATGTCTGGTCTAAAGTCTAATGATATCTGGTCTAATAATGATCATGTTCTTGCTAAAGCAGTGCTTGAAGGGTGGGCGGACTGAGGGGTTGGGGGAGGGGTGGAGAAGGGGGCGTGACAGATACATCTAAAACATACATCTGGCACGCGCACCTAGCCGTCTGCTTAACGGTCGGGTCCACGCTAGATTATTAGTGAGATTTAAGGTATTCATGGCCATATACCATTAGGGGTGGGGGTAAAGACAGGGAGGGGAGAAGGTTGAATGTAATGGCCGTGGCTTGAATAAAGGTATTGGAAGAGAATGGGGGGGGGGTGAAGGGGTGGATTGTTATAGAAGGGGTTGTTTCGCCCGCTTGATTCGACAAGAGCTGATACATTCTTTACCGCTGGGGGTGGGGGCTCACACACCTGTGGAGGGGCCGCCCCCCTCCCCACCTGTACACCGATCACTGAGAGCCACGACAGTGAAGCATCTTCGACCGACCGGCCGACTCGCTGTGTCGAGGGCACCACTCGCGGTTAGTTCGGGAGATATCGGTGATCGTTTCCTGGCGCAGATTCTCGTTCACCTAGCTGGGTGTTCACCATCACAACAATAGTATCGCTCTAAGGTTGTATGACATCTAGAGCTGATGATGGTCTTAGTGATGTTAGCGTTGTGCTGTTACTAATGCCGTGATGTGGTGATGTTGATGTAGTTTATCAACTAGGAGATTTTCTGGCAACTAGGCTACAAGAAAATATTTCACGGACGGATATTTTTCTGCTGGACCTGACCCCTGCCGGACCTATCTCTGACCCCTGCTGCCGTGACCCCATCATGAGGGATAACTCCAGCTAGGGTCTGTGATGGCGAGGATTACCTCTCTTTGGTGGCCAGCGATTGGTCGCCGGTACCACGTGACTATTTCCTATGTCGTCATCATTGTGTGTTTTATGCAAATTTTTCAGCCTTCCTTGACCGTCGCGGTTGACCTCAGTCAGGTGGATAAAAAGGTTGGTTCATTTAATTCAATTACTTTTGTGGTATAGTTTTAAGATGGGATCATTTATTTTAATTACTTTTGTGGTATGGCTGTAGATTATGAATGCGCTGCTCTGTGTGTACTTTACATTTTTTTTTCATTTCGGTTTAGTTTTTACAAAACTATTGTAGCATATTTATATTCGTCTACCCCTCCCCCCACCCTTCCATACACACATATAAACACACATTGACATAAAATTTTGCCAACTCAACACAAATTACGACATAGGCTAGCAAGCACTGTGAAACCAGTTAGGATTAGTTCTAACCCTACTGCTGTACCAGCGTGTGGGTTGTAGGGTACGTTTAACCCATAACTACAGGAACCTCAGATAGCAAGCCGTTTAACCCATAACTACAGGAACCTCAGATAGCAAGCCGTTACTACAGGACCCACAGATAGCAAGCCGTTACTACAGGACCCACTGATAGCAAGCCGTTTAACCCATAACTACAGGAGCCTCAGATAGCAAGCCGTTTAACCCATAACTACAGGAGCCTCAGATAGCAAGCCGTTTAACCCATAACTACAGGAGCCTCAGATAGCAAGCCGTTTAACCCATAACTACAGGAGCCTCAGATAGCAAGCCGTTTAACCCATAACTACAGGACCCTCAGATAGCAAGCCGTTTAACCCATAACTACAGGACCCTCAGATAGCAAGCCGTTTAACCCATAACTACAGGAGCCTCAGATAGCAAGCCGTTTAACCCATAACTACAGGACCCTCAGATAGCAAGCCGTTTAACCCATAACTACAGGACCCTCAGATAGCAAGCCGTTTAACCCATAACTACAGGACCCTCAGATAGCAAGCCGTTTAACCCATAACTACAGGACCCTCAGATAGCAAGCCGTTTAACCCATAACTACAGGACCCTCAGATAGCAAGCCGTTTAACCCATAACTACAGGAGCCTCAGATAGCAAGCCGGTGATGATAAAATACAGACATTTTTAGTAAACATGTCCGTGTGCAGGTTTTGTATCGACTGAAGGGCCCCCGACAGGAGGGGCCCCGGGTATCGCGAACAAATATCCCCACAGCTGGGTGTTACGTGAAGTGTGCTCCTAAGTGGCACGTCACCCGCACGTCACCGGGACGTCACTTGTCCCCACAGACAAGCCGTGTATCAAAGCCCGGGCCCGGATTATGAAACAACTTGTTTGAATGTCTTCCACGAGCGACTCCACTGCGACGAATTAACGGAGTCAAAATATCTTGACAGCGAAATGACTGAACGCTATTGTTGGCGAGACTAGGATGGCCGAACGCTGAATTCCAAGAGTTGTGGTTCTTGAAGCACGGGTTATGGTTCTTGACTCGCGAGTTGCGGTTCCTGAATCAATGTTCAAGTGGTGTTGACATTTAGTTAAAAAAATATCAATGAAAAGATAATTTTTTGTATGAAGCAAGAGTTTTCCTAGGCCACCCCATCCTGTTTTACCCCTCCTCCCCTTCCCCTCCTCCCCTATAAAACTGACGTGGTTATGTATCGGATATTTTTTTTTAGTTTTGGGGGGGGGGGGGGGGGCTTGTGTGGTGGAGAATGTGTGGTAGGTGTGGGGGATGTGGGTGTGGGGAGAGGTGGGTATGGGGAGATGTTGGTGTGGGGAGATGTTGGTGTGGGGAGATGTTCGTGTTGGGAGAGGTGGGTGTGGGGAGAGGTGGGTGTGGGTAGAGGTGGGTGTAGGAGATGTTGGTGTGGGGAGATGTTGGTGTGGGAAGAAGTGGGTGTGGGGAGAGGTGGGTGTGGGGAGAGGTGGGTGTGGGGAGAGGAGTGTGTGTGGAGAGGTGGGTGTGGGGAGAGGAGGGTGTGGGGAGAGGTGGGTGTGGGGAGAGGTGGGTGGTGGGGAGAGGAGGGTGTGGGGAGAGGTGGGTGTGGGGAGATGTTGGTGTGGGGAGAGGAGGGTGTGGGGAGAGGTGGGTGTGGGGAGAGGTGGGTGTGGGGAGATGTTGGTGTAGGGAGAGGTGGGTGTGGGGAGAGGAGGGTGTGGGGAGAGGAGGGTGTAGGGAGAGGTGGGTGTGGGGAGAGGTGGGTGTGGGGAGAGGTGGGTGTGGGGAGATGTTGGTGTGGGGAGAGGTGGATGTGGGGAGATGTTGGTGTGGGGAGAGGTGGGTGTGTGGAGAGGTGGGTGTGGGGAGAGGAGGGTGTGTGGAGAGGTGGGTGTGGGGAGATGTTGGTGTGGGGAGAGGTGGGTGTGGGGAGAGGAGGGTGTGGAAAGAGGTGGGTGTGGGGTGAGGAGGGTGTGGGTAGAGGTGTGTGTGGGTCGAGGTGGGTGTGGGTAGAGGTTTGGTGTGGGGAGAGGTTGGTGTGGGGAGAGGTGGGTGTGGGGAGAGGTGGGTGTGGGGAGAGGTGGGTGTGGGGAGAGGTGGGTGTGGGGAGAGGTGGGTGTGGGGAGATGTTGGTGTGGGGAGAGGTGGGTGTGGGGAGAGGTGGGTGTGGGGGAGATGTTGGTGTGGGGAGAGGTGGGTGTGGGGAGAGGTGGGTGTGGGGAGAGGTGGGGTGTGGTGGGGGAGAGGTGGGTGTGGGAAAATGTGGGTGTGGGGAGAGGTGGGTGTGGGGAGAGGTGGGTGTGGGGAGATGTTGGTGAGGGGAGAGGTGGGTGTGTGGAGAGGTGGGTGTGGGGAGAGGAGGGTGTGTGGAGAGGTGGGTGTGGGGAGATGTGGGTAGCTGGAGGCGAAGGATGAGAGTAGGGAATTTGTGTAGTGAGAGAAATGTGGTAAAATGTTATAGAGGGATTGATGTAAAGGGAAACAAAAATGGGATGCAAAGATTTGATGAAAACGAAAAATGGATAAAATAGGATTGCGGTAAAATTGTGAAGATCATAAAGAGAGTATGAGTTAGATCAATACCCACACAATAATTTAGATGAGAAATAACCAAACTTCACAAGTCAGACAGAAATGGACAGCTACATTTTATAATGGAACGCCGAGGTAGGCGGCAGAGTTGTGGGCGGGGTATAATTAACTTATTAAAAGGAGGGGTCGGGGCGAAGGGGTTATGGTGCTCCTAGACAGGAGATAATGACAAATGGAGGGGGGGGGGGGATTTCCGTCAGCTGGCCCGTCATTTGTACATGTTACCATGGTTACCTGAAACAAATTTGGTACCTGAGATCTGGCCGAGAGTTGGTTTCATCCTAGGTAACATGTGTGTGTGTGGTGTGTGTGTGTGTGTGAGTGTGTGTGTGAGTGTGTGTAAGTTTATGTGTGTGAGTGTATGTGTGTAAGTTTATGTGTGTGAGTGTGTGTGTGTGAGTGTGTGTGTGAGTGTGTGTGTGAGTGTGTGTGTGTAACTTTGTGTGTGAGTGTGTGTTTGTGTGTGTGTGTGTGTAAGTTTATGTGTGTGAGTGTGTGTGTGTAAGTTAATGTGTGTGAGTGTGTGTGTGTGTGAGTGTGTGTGTGTGTGAGTGTGTGTGTGTGTGAGTGTGTGTGTGTGAGTGTGTATGTGTGTGTGTGAGTGTGTGTGTGTAAGGTTATGTGTGTGAGTGTGTGTGCGTAAGTTTATGTGTGTGAGTGTGTGGTGTGGTGTAAGTTTATGTGTGTGAGTGTGTGTGTGTGAGTGTGTGTGTGAGTGTGTGTGTGTAACTTTGTGTGTGAGTGTGTGTTTGTGTGTGTGTGTGTGTAAGTTTATGTGTGTGAGTGTGTGTGTGTGTTAGTTTATGTGTGTGAGTGTGTGTGTGTAAGTTTGTGTGTGTGTGAGTGTGTGTGTGTAAGTTTGTGTGTGAGTGTGTGTGTGTGGGTGTAAGTTTATGTGTTTGAGTGTTTGTGTGAGTGTGTATGGGAGTGTGTGTGCGTGTAAGTTTATGTGTGTGAGTGTGTGTGTAAGTGTGTGTGTGTGAGTGTGTGTGTGTGAGTGTAAGTTTATGTGTGTGAGTGTGTGTGTGTGTTAGTTTATGTGTGTGAGTGTGTGTGTGTGTAAGTTTGTGTGTGTGTGAGTGTGTGTAAGTTTGTGTGTGAGTGTGTCTGTGTGTGAGTGTGTGTTTGTAAGTTTGTGTGTGTGAGTGTGTGTGTGTAAGTTTGTGTGAGTGTTTGTGTAAGTTTGTGTGAGTGTGTGTGTAAGTTTGTGTGATTGTGTGTGTGTGTAAGTTTGTTTGAGTGTGTGTGGGTAAGTTTGTGTGTGTAAGTTTGTGTGTGTAAGTTTGTGTGAGTGTGTGTATAACAGTGTGTGGAGAGAGGTGGGTGTGTGGAGAGGTGGATGTGTGGAGAGGTGGGTGTGGGGAGAGGTGGGTGTGTGGAGAGGTGGGTGTGGGGAGAGGTGGGTGTGGGGAGAGGTGGGTGTGGGGAGAGGTGGGTGTGGGGAGAGGTGGGTTTTGGGGAGAGGTGGGTGTGGGGAGAGGTGGTGTGGGGAGAGGTGGGTTTTGGGGAGAGGTGGGTGTGGGGAGAGGTGGGTGTGGGGAGAGGTGGGTGTGGGGAGAGGTGGGTGTGGGGAGAGGTGGGATGTGTGTGAGGTGTGGTGTGGTTAATTATATGTTGGTCAGAATGTGTGTTTAGGACTCGCGTTATTATGGTGTGTGTGTGATATGTATGTGTGTGTGGTTAGTGTTTGTGTGGTTAGTGTATGTGTGGTTATGGTGTGTGGTTAGTGTATGTGTGGTTATGCTGTGTGGTTAGTGTATGTGTGGTTAGTGTATGTGTGACTAGTGTGAGGACAGCCACACGTGGACTGCTGCAAGTGTTCCCCAGACAACGCGGCAGGTCCGGCATGTGTTGAAGATGGTCGGCAGATTCTGTGAAATCTGGCATCAAGCTGTAGCCCACAAGGGAAGTAACACCTCACCGCCATGTTTCACCATTCTGCGCACGAGTTCGGTTTGCCAGTAAATCTAGGATGAAGTGGGGGGGGGGGGGGGGGGGGGTCGTCGGAGAAAATATTTTTGGTTTAAAAATAAAATTAAAAAACAATGTCCGCTGTTGTTGCTTTCACCCGACTCTAGCTAAATTTGTCGCTAGAAGTAAC